AACCTGTAGCAGCTCCCGTTTACCCGCGCAGCCTGTGGCAGCCCTGTATACCCGCGCAGCCTGTAACAGCTCCCGTATACCCGCGCAGCCTGTAACAGCTCCCGTATACCCGCGCAGCCTGTAACAGCCCCCGTATACCCTCGCAGCCTGTAACAGCCCCCGTATATCCGCGCAGCCTGTAACAGCCCCCGTATACCCGCGCAGCCTGTGGCAGCCCCCGTATACGCGTGCAGCCTGTAGCAGCCCTCGTACACTAGTGTCCCAGCGGCTGGAGTGAGGCCTGTCCAACGCCTTTGGGCCATAGCTCAGCGATAGCAGTGGCGCCCATTGGTGCCGATTTTCACTCATAGTTAACGTGTCTTGTAGCCAAAACAGATTCGGCTGAATGTTTATGCTCGGGATGGCCTGACGTGAGTTTGGTCTGATTACAAACTCACATCTCGGCAATGATCGATTGCGTCAGTCGGACTTTTATATCGAGCTGGACTGTTTTGTGGTCTGAATCGTGGCATTCCAGATGGCCACCCATCTTGGGAATTTGCTCGGATTTCGCCGCACGTGTCAAACATACGAGGCCCCGTCCGACGTCCTCGGGGTCCCGCGCGGCTCTGGCGGGGATCTCGGTCGCCGCCCCCCGCCAGCCTGCCTCAGGGTCCCGCGCGGCTCTGGCGGGGATCTCGGTCCGCCACCCCCCCGCCAGCCTGCCTCGGGGTCTCACGTGGCTCGGGCGCGGACCCCGGCCGCGTGCAGGGGTGGCCGCGGGCCCTCGCGGCTGAGCCGTACTCTGCGGCGGCGCGGCTTATTCCTGGCGCGGCCTCGGCCGGCGCCGCTCTTTGTGGCGCAGCCGCCGGCTCGAGACGGCGCGGCAGATCGACCGGAGCGCCCGGTCGACTATTAATAGCCCATGGAGCTGTAAAACGGGCGCCGCCGCCGGCCCGCGCCCGCGGCGGCCCGCCGCGGGTGGGGGGACACTCCTCTGGCCACCGTGTGGGGGCGGGCTGATTGGGCTCTGTAAGATGGGCAAGTCCACGCAGGCGACTCTCACTCCGTGGGTTTGCTGCTCTCGTTACTGCGTTTGGTCAGATTCAGGTCTGCTGGCTGCCCGTGGCTATTGGTGTAGTCCTATGGCCTCTGTTCCATGGCCTTGGTGAAGTCCAATGGATGCAGCGTGAGGGAGAAATGCGTGTGGCCCTGTGCGATTGGGCCTGAGTTGGCTGGGCCAGGGAAGCGGAGCGGGTGGTGTTCCGGGTCATCAGTACCCTCGCGAGATGAGGTGCGGGTGACGACCGGGGCCGCCCAGGAGCCCGGCGTCGCCAGGCAGCCGGCAGTCCCCCTGTGGCACGGCTCAGCGGTGCAGGCAGGACAGGGCGGGGGCGAACGATGACGGCGCCGCAAAACAATGCACAGCGTGGTCACTGAGGCTGCCGGTGTCGTAGTCCAACAGCTGAAGGCCAGGACCGGACAACGCGACGCGACCTTGACTGGAGGGCGCCATGATGCTGCCGCGCCTACGACCCATCAACAACGGCTGCGGCGTGGTCTCCGGTGACGCGCGGATTGAAATGGACAGACGCCCCACCCCTCCTGCCCATGCGCTGGGAAGGGGTACTGGGGCAGAACAGGCAGCAGCCACGCTGCTGGCCGGAACACTGAGCCCGGGGCATGTGGGGACGACTGGGACGACGCCAGACGCCGTTGGTGGTGGTCTGCTGTATGCAATGGCGCGATCGCCAAGCATCGCAAAGATTCCGCGATACTGCTGGCTGGCCTTGGCTCGCCATCGGCCGTACTTATGTCTAAACTACGCGTCGGCACGTGTTGTTACTTGATGAGCTTCATTCGATCAGAATGGTGCGGAGGCCCAGTGAAAACAAGAGGCATAAGTAAACTAATGCAGTCATCGTTGACGTGCATTTGCAGGACGTCGGGCACGAGCACATTGCCGGGTTTTCTTGCAGGGCCGTCAGTTCAAAGAAACAAACATCTGACATAAGTATCTGTAATTTCCCCGTCTGGCTGCCAAATGTCCGACGATCTAACTAGTCGTATCCAATCGTAAAGTTGCGGAAACGCAGCTGAAATTTTTGCTTGTCTAAGTACAAATAGTGCTATTCTAGACTTCTTGTTAACCTGAGCGCGCAGGATTGAAGGCGTGATGAGGGCTGGCATAGCCCTGAAAAAGTCCGAAGGCTAGTGACGGAAATTGCTCCTTGTGTTGCACTTGTCTGTTCGGGCTCGTTCTTTTTTTCTCATGTTCTTTGGAACGCTTTTTCCGTTTGCTTTTCCTTTTTGCGACGACCGACCCCTGTCAGGACCGAGAAGTAACAGACTTGCGTGCCCCCTCCCCTCGCTTTCCTTCCCTTCCGCTCGCCTCCAGCCGTCTGAAAAAGAAAAAACAAGGCAGTGCTGGCGTGGAACCGTTACTAGCTAGAACGACTGATAATCAACCTATGTAATACAGCTACACGCGGCTTGTCGTATTGAGCCATTATACGGGGCGAGCCAGGTCAGGACGTGCAGGTGAAACTGTGGTTTCCATTCGGTTCCGAGGATGAATATACTTTTCCAAGATGATTGTATTGCTGACCACTGTCGTTTGATAATAAAATATTGGGCGCGTTTCACGGCCTGTCGCATAGCAAGTTCTGCTTCAGTTCACGTAGTGCCTAAGCTCATGCCAATTTGACGGTATCTACGACCTTGTGTGACCTATTGCACATATAGCAATCAGGTGCGTGTGTTTTGGCTTCGGCATTATCCTGTCCGATGTCTCTCAGATTGCCAGTGGCCATGAATGCCGCATAAGATTGTTGACTTTTCCGGAGTTCAGGAAGGTCAATGATCTGTGTCCCCCGACACCGTCCACCGGCACTTTATGCTTCACGTGGATGTGATTGGTGTGTTGGAACGGGTCGGGGTGTGACGTCAGTGCGATTATATGACTGTGCGTCTGGGAAACTAAATGTGCGCGGTGCCATTTCCTGCGGTGGCCGCCTTTCCTGCCAGGGTGAGAGGCGGGCGACGCCATGCAGCTTTAGCGGCGCAGTGCGTCGCAAGGCCGCGATCGCGACGGTGATAAGAGTTGGCGGATACGCATGGCATTGGCAGATACGCGTGGTATGCATCCTCGCGAGCCTTGCCAAACTACAGGCTACCTATCCAGGCTATACATACGTACAGACATACATACATACATGCATACAAACATACATATATATATACATATATATATATATATGTATGTATATATATATATATGTATATATATATATATATATATATATATATATATACATATATATACATAAGGTTGGAATTGGTGCCAGCCTGTGTGGAACGAAATCATGTTCAGTCGCTGCAAATTTTCAGTTCCATCTTATTGTTCTTTGCTATATCTGAAGATTGTCCCCTTTCGTAGAACGTCATTTATTTGATAACTGTATGGAGCACTCACCGCTCTTGATAATCGGTCTGCTTCTGGTGAAGCCTCAGGGCCAGCTATGTCTAAAAATAACACTGGAGAGCGTTGCTGCAGCTCCAGCAAAGCACAATGACCAAACTGAATTTGATTGTGTTCAAGTCCACATCGCGCAGTAAACGTTTCGGCACCGCGCTCCGTTTCTTTCTTTGCAGCCCAAGGTTTAATTTCTGGAATGAGCGATGATGGCCCATACGAGGCGTTCAGTTGATGTATTGATGGTAGCCTCCGCGGCTGTACGCTGGGAGTTTTGCTCAAAATGGGCATGAAAAGTGACAATAAAGATAAAAGTTACCTGCGAACACTAACGGCCCGGCCTTTGCCTCAACTGAAGTGGAGTGGTCACAATGACTTCCACCATTGGTGGGTATGAATGACGCCAGCAGAAATGAACTTCGTGATTGGCGTTGCGGACGGCGTTAACTATTCAGCGAGACGTGCATTGTTCGAAGGTTGAACTTGTGCCCCACGAGGCCTCGTGATGTGTCGCTGGTGTATACCTGCTTTGTAAACAGCCTTGCAACGAACCGAGCATCCAAACACGCCATGTTTCGCAAAGCCAAAGTGCGCTTCGAAAATGAGCGCCGCTAAACACCAAAGGGACGGATTATAGCCATAGTACGCAGTTTTTAATTCGCCCAACCTCGTATCTGTTTTTTTTCTTAAATAGTGTTTCAAGCTCCCTTAGTATGTGTTGGGTAACCATTTTGGTCAGTTAGGGTATTGCAAACATTTCGTAACACGGCTATTATAAAAGCAAGCGAAAGAAAATTATTACTTCCGTAGTGGTGAGCGGGGAGTTTAATGACATTTCTTATGTCGGGGGAGCTACTTCAAATAGAAATATTGAGCTTGTCAGTAAGATTTAGAGAAAACAGATATTCCGGATCGCATAGGGCTCGTCTGATTTGAATAGATGTGAAAAGTACGAAAAGGCGAGATGCTCCCTTTAGTACGTTCATATGTGACCAGACCTTTTGGCGGGTCGTATTGTTAGCGTCCCGTTCTTGTTTTACCACGGCACTGATGCCTGTCCGGCGTATCGTTGACACGGGTGGGGACGGCGCGGCGGCGTAACAGACGCGCTGGGCCCGTGACGAGTCTAGCTTGGCGTCACGGCCGCCAGCTGTGTGGCGCTCCGGCCCGCCGCCCGCCGTCAGTCCTGCACCGCCAGTGCCCAGATGGTACGGACGTATAAGGCAGCCCTATGGCTAGCCCATGAAACGGGCCTGCCGAGAGTTGTTCCTGAGGGAATCGTGCTTACCGTATGCGCCCACTCACTGGCTGCCAAAAAGTGTGATGTTGATAACGATGCATCTGCTACCTGAATGAATGCTCTGTTGCGGACGCATCGTCATCGATATAATGTATAAACAGCTAGACGTGGTCGTTTTTTAGACCTAGGCGGTTCCGTTCTGTCAGGGTTGTCCAGGTGCCTGGCTTGTGGAACTCGGCCGAAAGCTTGCCATTGGCCAATGGAATGGCTGCACCCGTGGCTAATCCGCCCCCGTCCTGTTTTCAGATACTGCCGCGCACAAGTCACCAATGATGGAAATAAACTCCGCCTTCACGCATCTGCCTTCTAAACGTAGGTGTCGGTTATTGCGCCTGCCTCGGTTGTATGAGTGTGCTATGCATCGATCGGTGTACACTGTCGGCGCCGAGGGCACACTGCTCACCTGGGCTAATAACCCGGTCGAAGTTGTTATCTCCGGCTGTTGGCCCGACTCCCACGCGGCGCCGGTGCACCAGTGACGTCATCACCAGCTGACGCTCGCGGCCGTGTTGCAGCGGATGTGAACAGCGGCTCGCCGGTGCTGGTGCGCTCCACCGAGGCTAACAACGTGGCCAACTCGTGGCACGACGCGTCCCGCCACGACGCCTTTCAGCAGCAGCTCCTGCAGGTGAGAGCGCGGCTAGCGCTGGCCCAGCGCGAGCCGGCCGCGGCGCGCTGCCGCTGGGGCTGGCGCTGCCTCTGACCCGCCGTCTCGCACCGGGGGGTCACGGCGAGTATTGAATCCCCCGTCGGCTGTGCCCCGCTGCCGAGCGAGGGACTAACTGGAGGGAAGGGTGGGAACTCGCCTTCTTGCGCTTGCTCTCGGAAGTGGTGATTGCTCTCGAAGCGTCCTTTGGCATTTGGTATGACTATAACTTCTGTTTTGGCCGGATCCCTCTCTATGTTTGGTTGTCGTGGGTGGCGCCACAGGGGGAGGAGTGGGGGGGGGGGGGAAGAGATGAGGGGACAGTTTGCCCACCTGCTCGTGGGCGGGTTTTGTGAAGCCTGTTTTGTTCAAGCTGATGGTTTCGTAGCTACACTTATGTTAACGAAATTCATAGTAAGGAGGCCTCATAGTTAAACTAGCGGTTACTAAGTGGGCCCAGAAGCCTTTTCTGCGAAGCCTTTTCTGCATTTCTGCCCGTTTTCCGGACCAGGAACCCCCATTATGGATCAGGCGGCCCATCCCCAGGGTCAGGAGAACCAGATTTTGTGTTATGGACGCCCCTGTGCTGGCCCGGTGGGTCCGCTATGAACCAGGATATAGTACATGAATACGCACATGCACATACATACATATATAATGCATGCATACACACATCCACACATCCATACATCCACACGTACACACACATACATATGTATAAACATACACATACATCATACATATATGCGTACATGCATATATATATATATATATATATATATATATATATATATATATAGTTAAGATGACCCTTATTCTTGATTTTTTAGTTTCGTACGTTTATTCACGTGGGTATTGTACACAGAGCTCTTTGATAAGGCAGACGTGTCCCCGGTGCCCCCGGGAATAGTTCACCGCCCAGAAGCGGAGGCGAAGGTTTCTCAGAAATGTTTGGGATGCAAATGACATGTTTTCGGCCCTTGTTTGTGTGCAACTGCATAGACCTAACGTCAATTATCTGAGATGGGGGGCTTGCAGCAATTAAGAGTTGAGTTACACCCATGCCCAGGAGGCCTCTTCCCCCCCCCCCCCCCTTGTGAGGTGGTGTCAATCTGTCCAGGAAGCCCCTGGAAAATGCTGCCTCCTTATCCAAAACCGGTGGTGCCCCCGTAGCTATTGTAATGCTATTGATATGTCTGGCTTTGTGGCCATTGTCAGATGTAACACTACAGGAAATAGGCCTCCCACGAGAGGTCATGGTTGCATCTGTACTTAGCTGCGATGGCAGGGGAGGGGGGGGGGGAATGTGAGAGACGGCCGAACTATGGCGGATGACGCGGTGGCGACATAGGATGGTACCAGCGGTGATATGTCAACCGCATTAGGCCCTGAGCAGACGCGTCGGTAGTCCTGATGTTCTAACACACAGCACGCGTGGCCTGACTCGCAGCCCGCGCGTGGCTGGACTGGCAAGCAGCGAGTATGGCACAGGCTATGGTGTTTATACAAGGAGGGTGGGGGCCTCTCCCACGGGTGGCGAGGTACTGGCGACGCGTGGCGAAGCCGGGGCGGCCCCACTGTCACATTGCCATTAGACTGGAACGAAATTACCCCGCAGTTCGGACCTTGCTGTGGCATTGGCTGGTGGGGAATATTGGCCAGTTGGGAAATTAGCACTTGGCTGGTGGGGAATGCCATCCTCACAATGCGTCATATGGAGTAGGTTTTGATCCCAAAGGCATTCGAACAAGTGGTCCTTGTAATATTTGTAGTAGAGAGTAATATACCCAGGAGGGAATATTGCGATCGTCGGATAATAAACGTACGGTCCTACAACTATCCTCATGGTAAGGACAGATCATTGTAGTGGCTCTTGAAAATTTTGCCAAATACATTGCAGCGATGTCTTTAAGATCGGGAGCCGGAAGCGGTAGGCCCAACCAACCCTAAAAAACCGCCCCAGATCAACGGGTAGTTTGACTAAAAGATTTCAAGGCGCCTCTGAATTTTGGAGGCGGACACCCCCGCTTCTGCAATAGGGTTTTGATCGATGCCTGCTACGCATTGGGAGAATCCCGGACGCTCCGTCGTGTGATCGACTGCGACGACGGTCCCATGCATTATGCATACCAAACAGCACCCCTGAGAAGCACCCACGTCAATGCCACGCCGACGCGCGAGTGCATGCGTACCCACACCTTGGCGTGCATGTCGAGGACGCGGCTGACACCGAGCGGCTCTGCCGCGCGTGTAGGGACTGTGACTCTGAACGTGTCAGGCACGCAGGAGCGTGGTCCTGTGAGGCCTCTGCGCGCTCACTGTGCTGCTCTCACTGCAGCGGCCAAGATCGGGAGCTGTCCGCCAGTGGCTATGATTGTGAGGCTGGTGCGGTGTGAGCGATGAGACGCCGTCGGTGATGTTGCGTCTGATTCGGGGGCAGCGTCGGGAGCCGTGAGAGGGCGACGGTCAGGAGCTGAGCTGTGACGGGAGGCTGTCACAAAGGCTGGGGTTCCGTCAAGATGATGTTGCTGGCAGTGAAAATGCCATTGGGATTCGTTCCATATTCATGTATGACGAAGAGTGTGAACAGACGGTCTCAGCTTCAGTAGATTGCCTTGGAAAGCTGACTGCATCTCACTATGAACTGCATCTCACAGACAAGCTAGGTTACCTTCCTGACGCATACTCACGAAGGTTGACGCGTGAAGAAACCCGACGAAAGAGGTCTGTCCGCGCACTTCGAGCTAATCTGTCACTTTGCCCGACGTTGGCTCGCCGTTCAGATATCGAACGAGCCGCGTCCGTCCGGGCATGCAGCTTAAAACGCTAGGCGTGGGAGCACGTAGGGTGACCGCTACTGGCTGCAGTGTGGTAGCGTTCTGGGACTGCGGGGTTGGCGGCAGACCGTCCGCCACCAGACCGTCAGGTCCTGGATTGGACTCTCCTCGCGGGCTGTTTTTCTGCTCCCCCGCGACACGCGGCGCGAGTGATCAAGTCGCCAGCGCCACAGCAGCACTGTGCGTCAGCCGGCGGTGGCCGGTCGGGGTGTTGCGTTGCCTCGCGCTCCGGCCGTGTCATCGGGAGATCGCTGCCGCCGATCTCGCCGTGCCGAGGCGCCCAGCTGATGTCCGGGAACCGTTACGCCTATTCACAGCACGCGAGGATGGTACACGGCGGCCCGTTTTAACGCGGGGCACTCGGCGAAACGGCCGCCACTTTGCCAGGTGTTGTTGCACGGCCAGTTTCAGAGGCGGCGGCGGGTGGCGGGCGCGCTGGTATCGGCTCTGGGGACGCGGCCGCGGGGGCCCGCGCGTCGGGACGGCCCCGGCCGCCGCCGCTGAGTCTGTGTGGTCGCCGGAGCTGTGGTCTCCGGCCGGCTGTCTGTCGGCGGCGCGCCGCTCGCGCCACTCGCGCCGTGGCGCGCCGCGCGCTCGCCCCTGTCAGTGTGACGCCCTCGTGGGCCGCCGCGCCGCCACCGTTACAAGGCTGTCCTCTCCGCTCTCAGATGGGGTCGGTTAACAAGGCGATACCGGACGATGTGCTGCGGGTGAGTTGGTCCGTGTGTATGTGTGTGTGTGTGTGTGTGCGTGTGCGTGTGTGTGCGCGTGCTTGTACTGTGACGTCCGGCGCAGTCAGCTAGCCCGCATGCCCCGCTCACGCGTTCGGCACGGAGTTTGGTGTGCCCTCTGCCGGCTGCTGTCGACCGCATGCGCACTAAGGTGTGTCGACGGAAACAGATCATGGTGGACCCATGTTTCCCTGGCGCGCACAAAGAAGAGCGAACTTGACCGAGTTGGTGGAAGAAACATGAAAGCTCTAATGGGCGGTTGAAGTTCTACCACTGACATCTGGCACTGGCACGGGCACCTGGCGAGTGGTTTGGGAGCTGCTGGCCTCTCTCCTGCCTTCAGGGCCAGCATCATTGCGATCTGGCACGGACCTCTAGCCTCTGTCTGATGATGTCTTTATATTTCCCTGACTAGCTTGAATGGTTGCGCTTTAAAAAAAAAAAACAACATCAATGAGTTTGCCCCGCTGTTAGACCTACGCCATTTCAGGGGCTTTCCCGTCTTCCGCTTCGTTGGAGCGCGGCTGGTGCGTCACGCCGTGCTGATTCCACGTTTGGTATGCTAGGCAAAGCGCAAAGTAGAGCGGTATCCGGTGTGTGGTTTACGTTGTTTTTTCTCTGGACATTTGAAGCCATCGCGTGTGGATGGCCGTCAAGTCAGGGCAAACGAGGTTAGGCCTCAGTTTTATCGGTGATTTCAAACCCTAGGATGACCTCAGATGCCCATGGCGTGCCCCGCACTGCCCCCGCGGCGGTAATGGCTGAAAGTTTTGACCGGAACCAACTGTGCTGTGCGCCGGGCATCTGAAAAATCAAGCAGATCCAAAAATTCAGTATCCAATAGAATAGTTAACTAGTAAGTCAAGAATGTAGAATCTAGAATCAGGCCAATCTCTGAAATGGCAGTGCGTTCGGTGCAGTCAAGTCGCCAATGGTTGAACTGCAATTTCCTCCGCAAAAAAAGTTTTCTTCTTCCCAGCAGCGTGTTCAAATTCGTGGTTCCATGTGCACCCCACACAAACATGGCTGGCCCAGCTAGACTGGTGGACGTCTCCTCAGTGTGCGGTGACACACCCTGCGTCCCATGCATGTGGCGGCTACGGCGCCAGTGGCGAACTGGCCCTGCAGAGGTCAAAGGCACCCGGTCAGATCCTGCAGAAGTCAGAGGCACCCGGTCAGATCCTACAGAGGCCAGAGGCACCCGGTCAGATCCTGCAGAAGTCAGAGGCAACCCGGTCAGATCCTACAGAGGCCAGAGGCACCCGGTCAGATCCTGCAGAGGCCAGAGGCACCCGGTCAGATCCTGCGGAAGTCAGAGGCAGCCCGGTCAGATCCTACAGAAGTCAGAGGCACCCGGTCAGATCCTACAGAGGCCAGAGGACACCCGGTCAGATCCTGCAGAGGCCAGAGGCACCCGGTCAGATCCTGCAGAGGCCAGAGGCAACCCGGTCAGATCCTGCAGAAGCCAAAGGCACCCGGTCAGATCCTGCAGAAGCCAGAGGCACCCGGTCAGATCCTGCAGAAGTCAGAGGCACCCGGTCAGATCCTACAGAGGCCAGAGACACCCGGTCAGAGCCGGCGCGCACGGCTCGGCTGCTTCCACCGCGTTTTCGCAGGCTGACTGGACTTGTACTACACGGCTTTGTTGCACTGTTTGTCGGCTTTTTGTGGTCTTCGTTTCGCTAACGCATCTGCCTGTGCCCTGGATTTAACGCTGAATGCTATTTGAGTTATTTATGTTGTTGGTGTGCATTGTCCGTTGAGTTGTCATGTTCATTACTCTGTCCTAGATGTGGTGTTGTTTCCTCCTATCGGTATTTATTTTTCTTGGTCAGCGTTGTAAGTGGGGGCTACAATCTTACGCCACTTTTAGACCAAGCCGTGCACTTATACGAGCCTGGAACAGGTCAGTGTTACCTAGGATTGTGATGTTGACGTCCTCGATGAGTTGCGAGAATTCACTAAGCTGGTGGTCCGCACATCCCTGCTGGGTTAACTGATTATGAGGCGCCGTTCGAATATCGCCTTATGACACTGCACGCCATCTCGCCTGGTCCACTCATCACAGGCAGCGACTCTTATCAGCTTCATGTCGGCTGAGCCGAACTGTGTGAAAATGTCTGAGCAAGACGATTGCATTCGGAGCGACGGTAATCCTGGCAAAATTAACCGTTGCTTTGCCCACACACGGAGTATCTCGCACTTCTCTCACTGGCTTCGTTCGAGTTCTAAATGGCTGGACGTTCTGGTACCGTGAGGCCTCATTGAACAATGTTTTCCACGTGCGTTCGTAATACAGGCTGGGAACAAACCGCGGATGACCATTTGGTGAATACGTCATGCTTTTCGACAGCTTTTTATCATATCCGTGTCGCACACAGGATATTATGTATTCTTTATCCCGCTTGGTTGCGCCGGTCAGTCATCTAGAGAAGACAGAGATGATTTTAGTAGCTTGTGGGAATTCCCAGCACGTGTTCTATTTGTGCCACATTTGGAGACGCTCGCAGCGTTTTATGGGCTACAATTTCCTTGTTCATCTAAATATTTCAGATGATTTAAGCGGACATTTGAGCCCAAGGTATAACTTACATTGCAACGAGCAAGTCGTCTTGGATCCCAATTGGAGCACCTTCGAATATGTTTTACGTGTCACACCTCTTTTCATGACGTCACCGACTCTCGACGCGCGTCCGGCGGGCTTGAAAAAGACAACACAAACAAAATCGCCTGCGCGAACAGGCCGTTATATTGGGGTACGCAGCACACGCACTAAATGGGGCGCACTGCGTGCTAAGTGGGTTACGCAGCACACATCCACGCACGCCCCGCCCGGTTGTTCTCATGTGGCGGCTAACGGCAGCCGGTCAAGCAAGGTCAGCGTCGCTCGCCCGTGCGCCGGACGATCGGTGGGGGGCCCGCGAGTCGGATCAGACCGGCCCCCGGGACCGCGGGCGCGCGCCTGGCGCTCCGCCGGGTCTGACCGTTGGCGTTGTTTGTCATCGGTTGTCGGATGAGAGGTAAGGTGTCGCGGTGCCGGAGGGGACGGGGGAGGGGGAGGCTCTGTTCGGCAGGTGCGTCGCTAATGTGTGGGTCACCGGTGTAGGAGTGGGACCAGTGCAGGCACAGTTGGGTCGATGTGCACAGTGAGGTGTAGGTACACTGTGGAAGGATTCCGTGGCACATGTTTGTTTAACCAGGAAGGGTTAACGTGTCCATTGCTGCTCTACTGAAACGTGTTTACGCAAAGTCTGTCCCTGAGGCTTATAAGCGGCATGTAATGGCGTTTATACAAATGTCGAAAATGATACCCTCGTCAACTCAAAGTGAGCAGCGTTCGACATCGGGCTGTAATGAGTATGTTCGTCGGACGAAGATCGAGAATCTGCCGAATGGCCCACGGCAGGCATCTCGGTAGACTCGGTCGAGGTCTCGGCAGACAAACGCCTCGGTGTGGGATGTCGTCATAGCGTGGCGATGGTTTCGGCCCGAGGTTGGTAGTATGCTACCAAATAGAGAGGCACGCTGGGAACTCCAGAGGCGGTCGAGCAGGATGTTGCCACACAAGATCCAGCCCCATCCGTCATGCGACCCTTAGAAAGTTAGCCAAGAGTCGGAACGGATTATGCACAATTTGGCAGCGGCGTTGTCTGGCTCTGCCAGTAAGATGTCAGGGATCCGGAAACACCTGTGCTATCAGATGTGTTGCTGTGGAGGCCCCCGGGTCGCCCTCCTTGTTCGTTGCCTGCTGACTTTAGCTGACCCCTGACATTGAGGTCGGGCTCTTCTTGGCTCGATGCGGATGCCGGTGCACCGCTCTGTTCAAGTGTGATCTGATTCTGTGACACCAACTCCGGTGAGAAGTCGGGAGCACCGGGGTGCCGGCTAAACGCCCTCGTCATATGGACGCTGGGCGCTCGCCTCCACGTGCGGGCAGCGGTGCAACATCATACGCAAGGCACTGCTAGAAAGTGCCAGCTGCGTCCGGATGCGACGGACGCTGCTCAAGCATCCCCTGCCTGAAGGAGTCAGCGTGGTTGAAATTGTGCTGGAGCTTCACCGGGCGCATCACACACTAGTGGCTGGGGGTACACATTGAGACATTTCCACGTGCAGAGGGGGCCGATGCCAGCAAGAATCACCTGTTCGGTGGTCTGAGGCAGCGGTGGTCCACGGAAGGTGTACAGGTAGAAAATGGGTGCCTACGGATGATGCTGGCGAGCTTCGGGGAGCGAGCCCACTAGGTAGACGCCAGCCATGTAACCAGTCGCTGGTATTCCGCCCCCCCCCCCCCCCCCCCTGTCGTGTGAGGCAGTATTGCTGGGCTCTGACGTCACACGAACGTGCTTCCAGAGGCCGACCTTCGTCGGCTTGGCGGAGCGAACAAGCATCACACTCTGAGTGCATGTGGAACTCGCCGAGGTCTTGTGTGACCAGCTGTGTGCCTCCATATGATTAAGCAACCACAGCTATGGCTGGAGCGAAGTTTCATGAATGAAATGCTAAGGGTTTTTGCTCGTTTTTTTGTGAGTGACCAGCTGCACGACTGAGTTCCAGTACCAGCTGACCGGGGACCAGTGAACCGGCCGTGTGCTCCACATGTTAAGGACCACAGCTATGGCTGGAACGAAGCTTCATGCATGCAATGATATAGTTGTGTTTTTTTGCGAAATGCTTAGCACAAAACGCTCGAGGGCTCTGATGTTTCCGGGCAGGATACCCCGAAGCATTTGTATCTATCATAAGCCACACGGTGGCCCGGGGGAGGTTGCACGAACTCTTATAACGGGTGCCGGACATCCACTATGAGGCACTACTCGCGCCGGCTATGGACATTTGCGCGAAGGGCGTTTCCGTGCGGAGGATGTACCGTAGGGCTCTTTCTGTCCGCGTTCTCATCCGCCATCACATGTTGGGGACGCAGGTCCTCAGTGCGCTGGCAGGCTGATATCGGTAACATTGGGATCTTCGTGCGATGTGGGCGGCTGCGATGGTCATTGCCATCACAGTCAGGCCTCAAAACGGTGTAGGGAAGCCGAAGACAAAACAAAACGTCGAGTAGTGCGTCGCAGACCCACAACCTCTAGGCTGTGGTGAGACAAAAAGACGTAAGAACATGGGGACATCTGGCCAACAAAGAGCCATGATGTCCCATCGAAGTTGGCCTTCCTCAGGTTCCGCACACGTCCTCAAAGTTAATATTACCATCTGACCTGCCCGTGTTTAGCTATAAATGGGAGTTAAAGACCAATAGAACTTGTCCAAACAATTTTTGATCCTGCCAGGGAGGGGCTTGCTACAACTTCGTTTGACAGTCCATTCCAGTGGTTTGCTACTCTTTGGCCAATGATATCTGCCTCTTCATAGTTCTCCTCCTCTCTCGTGCTCAATGAAACTGGTTTCCTCTAAGTCTCCGCCTAATTTCCGGTGCTCCATGTAGATCTACCTCGTCGATCCCTCTCGTAATCTTGAATACCCCTATCAGATCCCCTCGAAGTCTATGCTAGTTCAGTGAATGCAATCCCAAACCTCTAAGCAAGGCATCCCAGGCCAAGCCATTCCCGATGCTGTAGGGAACGCCGTCTTACCAGTGGAACACGAGACAGTATTATCATCGCCCTATGGACATGAACCGAGGTTGGAATTATTCCTCGGACGGTAGGTCGTCTGAGTCAGCCGAAGTTCCAACAAGGATGTCCGCGATGAAAGTCCGCGGACTCCGCGCTGTTGCCAGGATCGTGGATTTCACAGGAACTGCACGGCATCACTTGGGTGCATTGCCGGGCAGATTACGTGGCGAATGGGAGGATCACGTCGGTGGACGTATAAAAATGATAGTGGTCGGCGGAGCGGATCTGGCCGGTGCATTCCCGGACAACGTGGGTGCAGGGCTGGAAGCGGACCTGTCTGGGGCGGGCTGCGTGACGCTGCGACGGGGTGATAACTGTGCTGTCACTCCGCGTCACCCGCCGTAGCGGTGAACGGGCGACTGCCGGCATGAGTGGAGCGGTGGGCGCCTGTTGACTGCGTTGCTCCCGGGGTTCCTCTGGCCGGCGCGTTCTGTCCGGCCGCCGCGTGCCGTCGTCCGCGACAGCTGGGTCTCGAGCGGTCGTCACGGGGTCACACGGGGCCTGCGTGAAGACCCCGTGGTTGGCGCGCCGCCTCCTCGCCGCCGCTGTCTGAGCCCGGCTCTGGGCCGCCCGGGCGCGTGACGCGGCTGCGGTTGGGCCGCCGCCCACTGCCACCTGACGACGCTGATGTAACGCCGCCGTGGCGCGCCGACGGCACCGCGGGAGGCCGGCTGGCCGCTGACCAGAG